ATAGATAATCAAATCCAAATTAAGGCTATTAAGAATTGATTTAGTGTAAAGATAATATAGCAAGATTTTGTTTAGGTTATGGATATTCACTAAAAATGTGTAATACTTGTTTGCCTAAAATTTTGATTATGTTTTATCTTATTTTGTCACAGTTAAATAGTTTTATCATTAGGGGTTTTAATTGCATATAGTTTATAGAATTTTTTCTGATTACTCTCTATCCATCTAACTGAGAAAAAAAATTCCAAAGTACCACTTAATGAAAAGAGAACCATCTAATAAGGATGCAATCAAGTTACAGGGAGATGCACCATAAGGTGTGAAATCTTTGTCACAAACATTTTATAGTCTATATAGTGTACAGGGGAAGAGATGTCCTGAAGAGAGCAGGAAGAGAGTGACATTAGTCACTCAGTGGTATACTACTGAACTGAACAAGAAAGAAACAAACAACAGAAGAAAAAAAAAAAAAAACTAACTCCTTGAAAGCTCTTTCAACCATAATGTGGGCTCCATAATTATGCAATCTTCCCCCATGTCTTCAACTTTTTTCTGCCTTTCATTCACTTCATGATTCACTTGGGTTCAATCCTAAGGTGGAGCCCTTGATTTACCATTCTCTAGATTTAAAGATTTTTCCTTTCGATAACTCATTTGCTTGTGCAGCCTTAGCAAGTCCTGTGAAGGTCTCAACCCAGAGCTCTAGACCTGATGTCCTTCCTCAGCCTTGAGTCTCTCCTGATCCCTTGCAGCCAATCGGTGTCAGCATCAAGGTAGCTGCAATGTCTTTTGGATTCTTTCCCCTCTCATACAATTGTCACTTCAGTTCCAGGCAAACTGCTCAAACCTGTCATTTTCTTGTCGAAAGCACAAAGAGTCTAAATTCTTGGTCTAGCATCAGACTCTTGATAGACTTTTCACCTATCTGGCGTTTTATTTTCATCTAGGCCAGTTGATTTGTTACCACCAAATAAGGTAAACTCCTAAGTAACCTTCCATTTCCAAGGAGTGAATAATCCAATCGAGAGTAAACTGCACCCTCCACGTTTGATCTAAACACCTATTGAATCCTGGACCAGTGATAGTCAAGTATCTCCTTCAGATAACATTTTAGGGAAGAGATGAGAGGGGGTTACTTGTGTTCACAGCCTAAGCTTCAGCAATTGGCATATTAAATTCCATTTATTTGGGTGATATGGAGACCTGATTTTGCTTAATATACATTAATTGTTCCATTCAAGCCTAAACCTAAATATGTCTGTTCATTCAATACATTCTTACGAAACATCCTGTGTCAGGCATTAACCCAGCTAAGCACTGGGCTTACAGCAGTAAGCAAGACGGATCCCCTGCTTTATTGCACTACCCCCATCCTGAAGGGACTCACGAGGAGTATGGCAGACATTGATTAAGAACATTTTTAAGGAAATGAATATCGCAAAATGGGAAAGACTAGTGTGCTAATAAGAGCATTATTATATTAGCTAATAATACATGAGAATAAGAGCATATAGTTTTACAGAGTTCAGAATGGGGCTCAGAAAGCCCTCTTGAGGAAGTATGCACAGGTTGCTGCTTTCCTCGCTCACCCACCTTTGTCCTCAGGTTTTTGGCCTCATTTCTACTCATTCCTCAAAAACTCAGCTTGGACTTCAGGTCCAAGAGCTCTAGAAGCCAGGTCTGAATTGGTCTTTCAGACTTCTTGATATTCCCAAGAGTCTGTGTATTATACCTAACTTGGCATTAAGCAACTATATAAGGTGGGAATTATTACTCATCAATATTCACCCAGACGGTAAAATCTTAGAAGGTATCTCTATATATCTTAAGTGCCTAGCAAGTTTGTTTAATGAATTTTGCTAAGTTAGAGTGGAGATTTAGGAGAGAAAAATGCCAAACACTTAATTTCTGCCTAGACCTTAACAGGCAAAACAAAAGATAAAACAGATAAAGGCTTTAACCGAAGTGCTTTTGCTAGAGGTTTGGAGAACAGCTGGGTTATTCAGTGTGTACAATTTCTGTGCTTCTGAATCCCACAGAAGTTAGAATTCTTGAGGTCATCTTTTGCTGAAATATGTATGTACCAAGGTCTTAGAGGACACTTTAGAATTTTCTAATTCTAAAGTGAAATATGCCAAAGGTGTAAATAAATATATATATTTCTAAATGTATACTTATGACCTAAATCATCTATGATCTTTCAGCATGTACATTTATTAAAATTAACAGATGTTTTCACATGGAGTTTATTAAATGAATAAAAAGTGGTCATAATTCTAGAGATGTTATATCCTTGTAATGCAGCCTCAGACAAGGAAAAAAGTGCTATCTAGTGGTTCAGTCACGGAAGGAGACTAGGCGCACCAGAGGCTAGAGAACCTAAAAGAGTCTGTATCTCAATAGTTTAACCTTATGTCATAAAAAAAAAAAAATGCACAAAAATGGCTCATCAGCTCAAGGATGGGAAGAATAGATATTGATTCGAGCAGCTATATTCAGAGCACGACACTGCAGAGATGGAGAACGTGGATGTGGAAGTCAGACAGGCCCAGGTTTGAAATTTGACTGCAGGACCTTAAGCAAACTACCAGACCTGTTCAATTCTTGGTTATCTTCAACTATAAAATGATGACAAAAATATTGTCTATTGATAGGAGTATTAAAAAGATTAAATGGGATGCGGATAAAACATTCAAAATAGTGCTTGGCATTTAGTAACCATACAGAAAACCTTAAAATCTCTAAAAAATAGTTTATAATATAATATCAATGACTCTATACTTGTAGAAAAAAATAAACATCAGACATTACTTTTGTTTAAGTACATGAAAGCAAATTAAAAAGTAAAAGGAGTTACCTGTTACATTCCAATCACATGCTTCAGTTTTCAATGAAAACAAGTAATTTTTAAAACTAGAAAGACTACAAATAGACACTGAAATGTCATCTATTTCTAAAAATAATCATGATCCTTGTTGCAATGAATATACTCTCCTTAATCAAATTCTTTATTTTTCAACATCTACTCTAATAAATCCATCTTTATACATAGAGTTCTTAGAGATTAACTTGGTCATTTGAATTTTGTTCTCACTTGCTTAAAAACGTGAAGGGAAAACACAGCAGAAATAGCAATAAAAACTAAGTTTCAAAAACATGTCAATCTACTACATTTAAATACAACAGAGAATTTGATATTTGTGATATATATCCTTTGGCTTGTTGTATAACCCACTAGCTTAATTATCACAATAGCCTTACAACTTATGACAGCACATATAAGCTTTAGTAAAGATAGAAATGTAATGCTCATCTGCTTTTACAAAATGGACTGAAATATCACAATTCTCAAGTAATTATACATATGCCTTTGAAACGTTTACACTTTACTAAAATTACAGCCACAGAAGGACTGGGTTCTTGAGGTCAGTGCACAAATTTATATTAAATAATTTCCCTCTACATGATACCTAAAATATTTATTTAAAATTAAGCATAGCAGAAGTACATAGGCCATTATAATCATATCATGATCATTGTGTTGGCTGTGTTTTTTTAATGACTTACAATGTGCACTGAATTGTTTATTTTATATATTTTATTACTAATAAAAAATAATCAAAAGAGAAAGGCAATGGGAATCAGAACTGTGTTATGGGGGTGTCAATTACTGCCTGTGTAGTTTTGGGAAGTTTTTAGTCTGAGTTTCCATGTATTCATCTATAAAACAAAATAATCTTTAATGTCCAGAAAAAGAATATCCTTTATAGATTTTTTGCCATTATTTCATATGTCACGATGAATCTAGATCATAAACCCCAAATTAGGAATTAATTATCCACAATAAATCATAAACCCCAAATTAGGAATTAATTATCCACAATAAATTTTTCTGACTTACTATAATTCTTTTTCCCTATTGTTAAAATAGGGAAAAGCAAAAAGAAAAAGGAAAAAGAAAACCAAAACAAAAACATACTGTTGAAAAAAGTCAAAAGATCTACGTAAAATTTTGCTGCAGGTCTTTATCTTTCATATGTTCTTTAGTTACTTTGAGCAGTAGGGATCTATACAGCTAGTAAGAGATCTTTATATCCATGTCTTTTTATTATTTACCTCATAACCTCACAATTTTTTAAGGCTCTCCTAAAAATATTTCTCTTCTCGGGCACACATCAGAATTAGAACTTCACTACTTAATTTACCTGCACCCAAAACAACCCTTGAATGGAATCTGTCAAGTATTTTTCCATTTACAAATCTGGTGAACTTTGGTGACACTCTCACTCTGAATAAATGGCAATCACAATGGATGCATTTGTTTTTAACAAAGGAAGGCAAGCAGCCTCCATACACATAACAGTGAGAAAAAGGGAACCAAAGTAAATAAAACCCAATCAACACAAACTGTCAACTTGAGGCTAAGTCTGCAGGAGTTGGTTAGGGGTTTTTGAAAGGACTCAATCTCATAACTACCAGAGACTAAGTTCACTTACCTTCTTTTTGGTGATCCTAGCACAACAGTCCATAACATCACACAAAGTTCATCTGTATTAATGATTTTACAAAATGCTGGTCACAGTATTTCAAACTGTACTGGCAAATATGGTAGAGTACAACTGGTAACAGATTCAACATTTCAAATTGTATCCTGATGTAAAGTAAATCCACTACTTAGTGTAGTATTACAAGAGCATAATGCTTTTGGAAGAATACACAGGACAACGCTGATCACAGAAATGTGTGAGGTAACTTCAAATAATAATAAGAATAATAAAAACGTTCACTCAATACCAAAAAGAAGAACCCTAGACACTACTTCAAGGCAATAATGTCAGAATGTAGAATATGAGTACACAATCTTATAGCAAAGATCCACACATTTATACTATTTTAGCTATACTGAAACTTGAGAACTTCATAGCAGCCTACTAAAATCGCAGATCAACAGGATAAAAGTGGATAAAAAGAATGTGCAATTTATGAATACTATTTATTACCATGGTTACAAACTTTCAGAACAGGCCTCTGGGACATTGGACTGAGACTCTGCCGAATATCTGTTAAAAAACATATAAAAGAGAAACTTAATATAGAGGTCTGTTCATCTCAAGAAGCGTAACAGTATTTTTTCCAAGGTTAAGTATTTCTGGAAGCAAAGCAATAATGTTATGACTTTTACTTGCCATTTAATTATGCTACTGTAAACTCCACTGGGATAAAGTACATATGGTTCTTTAGATGAGACTTGTCACACTAATCAGGATTTCCTAGGTTCAGTGCATTGATTTGTAATGTGCTGGTGACACCGGCCAACTGGAATGCTTCTCCCTCTGACATTTGTCATCGCAAGGGGAGGATTAAGAAAACTTATGAAACTTCTGAAGAGATGTTGCCCACAGCACTACATTCTTGACATATGACTTTAAAAGAATTAAAAAGTATAAAAGGGTTGTTCTTTGTGATAGTTCCCTAGAAAGTAACATGAAACAAGTATAACATTCACCTTTTGACTTCGGTGTCCTTTTTCTTCGGTCCCGGAAGGCAGCCCCTGACTGCAAGGCCTCCAGCAGACTATCCATCACTCCTGTCTCATCACCCTCTGTGAAGAGAGATGCAGGGAATTCCATCAGCCCTCGGGGTTACCACAGCAGTGTCAAGCATACACAGAAAACTGGTGATGGCGATGGTGGGGGGCGGTGGGGGGGTGTGGAGATCAGGTGCCAGGACTAAGCCTGCAGCAATTTCAAAATATGATAGGGCTTTTTAACTTTCTCCTAAATCAAGTATCTTTTAATGAAATCTGTCTCATTAGTGCCTGTGTTACTGTCCATTGAAAAGGACTGCGTTCACTTCAGAGCACTGCTTACAGGGGGTGGCGCAATAACTTTGAATGGAATGTGGTTCTCGTCATATTTGTGTCTCAGGTTTTCATAAATCACATTTGTCTTGTAGAAATGAGTTCATTTCAAAGCATTGGCTTCTGTTCTAAAATCGACCAGGTATGGGCGTGCTTTGTTGGTGTTACTGACATTCTGCTGTCTAAAATTATTGTACATATTGTATTTCCACGCTAACTTTTGAGAACATGTTCCCAACAACTGATTCTTTATATCTGAGAATAATCATTCCTTAAATTTAGGTGACATACAACAATCATTACAAACTGTTACAGAATGGAAGAAAAGCCTGTCTTCTATAATAAACAAATAAAGAGGATTTCAAAAATCAGAAGGACTGAATCACATTATGATTAGTTTAAATTGATATTCTGTATATGATTAATGATGTAGTTATAGGGCCAAGTCTCTCTACAACTCAGATTTTTTTTGTAATAATCATAGCTATGTATAACAGGAAAAAAAAGTTTCAACAATATTACTGGCCCAACTGAAATACAAGGAAACACCAAAGGTATTTTTGGTCCTTTAGAGAGAGAATTTATTTGCAGGCATTCTCTGTGAAATTGTACGGCTGGTACATAGTTATGTCTAAAGTAATAGAAAGCTATTTTCCTCTGGAATTTTTATTATTTTTTCTTTTTTTTTTTTTGAGATGCAATCCCTTTATAGGAAACAGATGATAAATGTATACATTAGAATACAAATTAAGCACAGTTTACAAAAAGATATATAAATATAAATATAAATATAAATATGCATTGACCCCTTTTCCATCTGGTTCTAATTCACATTTTTAGAAAAGTACTAAAACTGGTAGGTGTAATAAAAAAAGGTGGGTAAGAAAGAGTATTTTGAGACTGTTAATTTACACGAAAGTTTAATTCTAAAGTGGCTTGATGGCTATTTTATTTAAAACACATTAAATAGTTCAGCCACTTTAATTAGTAACTACCTATCTTTGAAATTTTGCACACAAACTCAACTATATTTTTCCCCAAAAGAACTACAGGTAATGTCAAATGTTTAAGTTTTAAGTATATTTCATTAGTAAAACAAAACATTTAAAAAATTAGAAACTTTAAGAAAATAAGCATGAGATAAATGGCATACATTTTAAGAAAAAAAAAAAAGAACTACAAAGAAAACTTGAACTTTCCTTAGTAAGTTTGCTGTCGGTGGTGGTATTGATATAGTGATCTAAAACTATTATGTGTGTATTGTACGATTGAACAGATGGGTAAATATGCTGATGTTGGCAACAGGAATGGAAATACAAATATAAAATGGTAGAAGGAGAGGAAGAGCTGTGAAGTGCTGGATTAGATTTAAAGGCATCGTCTAAGATCAGGGTTTAAAAAAAAAAACAAAAAACTTTCCCGAACTCTGTAGCCCCAATGAGCCCAGAAGTAATAACAGTGCAGCAGCAATGTGCACACCTAGCTCTTGGAACTTGGTATCTAAATATCATTACTCACTAACAGGAACCAGAATACTTAGAGAAATGGGTGATTTTAGGGCTGAGACCAAGATATTGTGAGATGATCCAGGAACATTCTGTTGTGCCAGAGAACAAGAAAGAGCCCAGACAGATAGGCAAATGTCAAAGCATAGAGGAGCTGGACTGAAGGGTAGCTTTATTCAAATAGAGGACAAGTTGAGCACTGAACAAGTAATGAGAATGTAACTACATGCTGGGGAATAAAAGCATGCTTCCATATTAATACTAAAATATTAAAAAAAATAAATATGGAGGAAGAGAAAGCTCTTCTTTAAAGAAGACCATAAAACTAGTAGATGCCAAAGATATAAAGGAGACCAAGGATATAAAGAGGATACAGGTATGAGGGAAATAGAAAAACCACCATATTACAATTCACATAGTAGGAACTGATTCAGGCAGAAATCACCAATGGTTACAAAAAATAATCTGCGTAAGACTGGTAGAGGAACAGGATATGACGAAATCCGGCACAACCTCACCCAAATAATCAAATTTGACATCCCCAGTGATGAAGTGATGCACTGAGGCAGACACAACATAACCTGTGCAATAGTTCACACAAAAACACTTCACCTGAATCTAAATGGGAGGAACCAGACAAATCCAAAGTGAGGAACATTTTGTGAAACAACTCACCCTTTTTTTTTTTTTTTTACCATTTTTATTATTTTAAAATTTTTTCAATTACACTTTACTTTCAGTGTTATTTTCTATTGGACAGCATAGTGGTGAGACAATTATATACTTTACAAAGTATTCCCCTCAATATTTTCAGTACCCAACTGGCACCATATATAGTTATCACAACATTATTGACTATATTCCTTATGCTGTACTCTACGTGCTGTAACTTTCAATTTGTACTTCTTAATCCCTTCACCTCTTCACGCAGTCTCCCAATCCCCTTCCCCTCTGGCAATGAATAGTCCAGTGTCTGTGCCTATGAGTTTGTTTCATTTTTGTTTGTTCATTGATTTTGTTCTTTTCATTCCATGTAAGTGAAATGATACCTGCCTGGGTTCTTAAAAATCATCAGTATCATGAAAGGCTGAGAGAAAAACAAGGAATAGAAAAAGTTAGGGAACTGTTCTAGATTAAAGATTAAAGAGACATGAAAACTAAATGCAATATACAATCTTCGATTAGCTCCTGAAAAGTGAAGAGGCTATAAATAGCATTATTGGGATAACTGGATAAATTTTAAAGTGCACTGGAGAGTAAAGGATTATATTGCACCAATGTTGAGACACCTGAGTGTTATAATTACATTATGGATGGGTAGGATAATCCCACTGCTTTTAGGACATAGATGCTGACTCTTTCAGGCTCACCAACAACTTACACCATAGTTCTGTGTTCTCTAGTTCATGTCTTTGAATGTGCTGTTGACGCTATGCAAAACATCCTTTGTACTTTCTTCACTAAGCTCATGCCTTCACCTTTAACACAGACAACTGAGAATCCTTTCCTGACCTATGTGGCTGAAGTAGGTGGTCCTCTGTGTCCTACTAGCATGTGATACACAGAGCAGTAAATCCTTTATAATATTGTTTACTTGACAATTTCTACCACTAGACTATGAGTTCACTGAGGGCAGAAATTGTGTTGTTCATTTCTCTTTAGAACCTATTGCAATGCTAGTATTACACAGGACGTGTTTCTGAAGACACGGTGACTATGTTAACAAATGTGAGCCCTGGCTGGTGTGGCTCAGTGGACTGAATGCCATCCTGCAAACCAAATGGCCACCAGTTCGATCCCCGGTTAGGGCACATGCTTGGGTTGCAGGCCAGCTCCCCAGTTGGGGGCACATGAAAGGCAACCACACATTAATGTTTCTCTCCCTCTCTTACTTCCTTCCCCTCTCTCTAGAAATAAATAAAAATAAAAATCTTTAAAAAAAAAACAAAAAAAAAAAACCCAAACCCCCAAAACAAATGTGGCACAACATGGTCAGCTGGAAGGAATAATCATGCAGGAGAATGAAGGTCATAGGTGAAGATGGGGTCAGGGAAATGGTAGGAGTACGTTCTGACCACCGTGTAAACAACATACAGGTTTGTTTCTTCCTTTTCCCTTGTCTTAAACTTCCATTCAGTTGACAAACGTTGTTAATGGACTCCCAAGTATCTCATAAATTGATCCATTGTTTCCTTTTCTGACTAAACTTTATGTGTTGGTGGTCCAGAATTGAATTATTTTTTTCCCTGAAATACCACATGAGTTGCCTGGACTCACATTGCTTCCAGTTTCTCCCTAATTCTAATTCATCTCATATAGTACAGACAAGTCCTAAAGGAGAGTGATGATCTCAAGCGCCTAGTCACAGGTTTTTAATATCTCTCACTTCCCACAGTATAAAGTCCCATCTCTTTTACTTGCTCACAACATTGATTCTAATTGCTCTTCTAATCTTATCTTTACCTCCAACATCACAGTCTATTCTTCAGCTAATAACAACTGCCTGTGATTCTTCACAAACATCCTCTTTCCTGTCCATCATTCTCCACCTGGAACCTCCACCCCTGCTCTTGCCGCCCCCCACCCCCGGAGCTGATGGTTTTTCTTGGCCTTCACACCCACATGCATAGTGGAAACAATACAATACCTAAATAAGAACACCTGCATTCTTGTCTGAGCTCTCGCCTAACTACCTGTGTGACACCAGACCAGTATAGTCATTCCTGACATGTATAATAGAGAGAATATCGGTCTTGTGCTAATGAGAGGATCAGATAAAATAATAGAAAGAAAAGCACTTGGTAAATTGTTAATATAAAAATGTAGAGAAATAAATTCATAAATGAACTCTATAGTGCTTTAGCAAGTTTATGAAATGTCTGCTTATGTATTTCAAGCATTGCTTTTGATACATTATAAAGTAAATAAAATTTTAAACGACTTTACTTATTTATTTTTAGAGAGAGGGGCAAGGGAGGGAGAACGAGAGGGAAAGAAACATTGATGTGTGAGAGAAACATCAGTGGGTTGCCTCTCGCACGCCCCCAGCTGGGGACTTGGCCTGCAACTCAGGCATGCGCCCTGACTGGGAATCAAACCAGTGATCTTTTGGCTCACAGGCTGGTGCTTAATCCACTGTGCCACACCAGCCAGGGCATAAATTAAATAAATCTTTTTACAGTGTACCTGATTATGTCCTTAGTAAAGGACATAATATATAACATCATTTCTAAGGGA